TCAAACAATTGTTGGAGGAAATTAGATTAAAATCCACCGCATTCTATCAGTGTGGGAGATCTTTTTGGATAGTACAATTTTCGTGGTTTTATCCATGGGATTTGATGTGAAACCCCTTGTACCCCAGGGATTTAACCGGGAGCTCAAACTACTTTGGAATCTTGAATAACTTTATGGCCTTAATCGTCTGTGAAAGTTTCAGAGAAACCAGTGAGATGGCATGTGTCACGCCTGCCTGGTCCTGTCGTGGATAGACTTTTAAAGGGCAAAATAGATATCAATTGGGTGAGATATCAAAAGCTTGGCCGCAAGCACTAGAATTTTCGCTGATAATATTAGCACTTGACTAGAAATATAGTTTTGTTTGTTTGTTTTTTTTTTCATATTGCAGATCTCTCGAACTTCGTATTAAGATCTGTTGACGGTAGTCTTCCATTATAACGGACAAATTTACAAGCAGACAGAAGGCACAGTGATGGGAAGTCCGATTTCTGCAGTTACTTCTAACCTTTACTATGAAAGTTTAGAAAAAAAAGCGATAACTATTTAACACGATACCTTTTTTAAAACAGCGTAAGTCAACAACTGTAATAATGATGTGGTTTCACCTCACATGGCTTATACTACCCCCATTGGTTACTCACCCATAACTGTCACAAGTATGGTTTTATCTTTGCTTGTCATCCTCTTTGGTCCGTTGGTTTGTTTCATTGTACAAATGAATGTCCCATTGTCTTCAGAATGTACGGGGCTAATAAGTAGGCTGCCGTTGGATACTTGATTAAATCGTATGTGGTCTAAAAAGTTTCCTCCTTTTTTGCTCCAAGATATCTGTGGGCTTGGTACTCCCTCAGCACCGCAGCTTAATAAACCGGATGTGTCCGCAATCAAGGTTTGTTTGTCTAGCGTGTTCTTAGTATATTTTGCTGTGGAAAGAGGTGATAAGAGCCCCCAATATCATAGCAAAACTATTAAAAGGTCAGTAGTATGGTTATCCTACCCCTCATTATTCTGCATTTTTAGCCTGCGCCTGTATCTCTGTAAGCTGAAAAGATGTGTTTCTTACCATTAACGTAGACAACGTAATATTGAACATATTCCAATCTGTAGCATTCGTATAATCCTGCATCAGAC